TCTTCAGTGCCTCTGTAGGGGCGTGTGTGTGTGTGTGTGTGTGTGTGTGTGTGTGTTTTAATGGATTGACAGGTTGCAGTCGGTCTTAAGGAGAACTGGGGCGGCTCACGCTTGTGTAGCCAGATGTGGGTTAAAAAGACACTGAGGGTCCCTCTCTCCCTCTCCACTGATCCCCAGGCCCGCAGACGTTTTGTGCCTGCTGCTTCTGGGGACCGCAAGCTTGCCAGCCCCGCCAGCCAGCCTGTCGCCTGCGCGAGGGTGGGCGAGGCCCTGCCTCCCCTTGCTCACCTTGCGCTTGGCGGAGACTTGCTCCTGGTACCGGTGGGAGGAGTCCCCGGGGATCTCGCTGGCCCACAGCGTGATTCCCACTACGGTGTAGGCGTAGCCGATCACCAGCAGGGGGAGAAAGTAGCTCAGCACAGTCACGCAGATGTGGTACCTGCAAGGGACACGGGAGGGTCAGTCTAAGAGAGCTCTTACCTTCGAGATTGTTTTTTGTTTGTTTGTTATTGTTACAGGCTGGTCAAGGCTTGGCAGCTTCCTTTCTCAGGGCTTGCCATTCATAAGCGTGGACTATAAGGTACACCCCAGGGAGACTTGCCACATGCAAGGAGTGGATAGGTGGTATTAATGGGTTAATAGAGAAAGCACATCTCTTCAATTTATGTTTTTCTTGTGGGCTGTTTCTATGATGGAGATTCCTGCTCAGACTGAAAAAAGACAACAAAGAATTAATGAGAGGGAACGGAACTTGTTTATATACCTATAAAAATTTTAGTCGAGTTCTATATCACTGATACACCCCCTCCAAAAAATAAAAAAAAAAAAGGGAAACTTAGGCTGCATTAATAGAAGTATGTTATCTAAAATGGAGGAGGTGATTATACTACTCAACTAACACCTGCTGGACTACACTTATGTGCAATTTTAGTGCAGGGATGCAGACCAACTAGTGCGTCAGATGAGGACTACCATGATAGTTGACGGGAACCAGTTCATGCCATGTGACAAGTGGATTCATAGGTATCTGAAGAATTAACCTGGAGAAGAGCGATATGACTGACTTCCATCCACTAAGATCTGTGGATGAAAGTCAGATAGTTTAGGCCATTTCTAAGCCTGGCCTTTAAGACTGTGTTTTCATATAGAAGCGGCTGGGTCTCTGAGTCACCGCATATAGGGCCGATGCCAACTGACTGATACTGGACTGGGATATGCAAGAACTAAACCTTTGCAGTGTCAACCACTAAGATGCTGACGTTTGTTACAGCAGCACAGCCTGTCCCGTTCTGTTGAAGGCAAGGCTTCTTCTATGCAGGAGGCTCAAATACATTTTGTGAATTTTTAGAAAAGATGCTTTTCCTAGGGGGTCCTGGGAATGTCTGGCTAGTGAGAACCCTTTCCTTAGATGTGACTGTAACGGAGAGGCTCAGAATTCCTAATAAGAAAGAGAATGAAGAGCTAATATTACTTTGGGGGACTACTCTAGGCCGCTGTACTCATAGTGATATTAATGACAGTCTAATTGGCAGAAATGGTGGTTTGTTTTTTACTGAGTATTTATAAAAAGCACAAAGCCAAGCACAGTACTAGCATTATCTTATTGAATCCTTAATGCAAATAATTGGGCAGGTACTATCATAATCCCATTTTGTAAAGGGGGAAACCAAAGTTTAGATTTTAATTAATTTGCCCAAATTCACAGCTGGTAAAGGAAGGAGTTGGGATTAGAATGCAGGTCTGTGACCTCACAGCCAGCTTCTTATCACTGGAGAATAACCTTTCAATGATTTTTTTTCTTCCACTGTTTACAATCTATACTTATTCTCTGCAATGATTATCTTCCAATAAGGAAAACCCACTTATTCACTCAATAATTTTCCCCCCCTTTTTTTTGAGTTGGAGTCTCACTCTGTCGCCCAGACTGGAGTGCAGTGGCACGCTCCCG